TTAAATTTCAAGTCTTTTTTGTGAGTAAAAGCTTTCGATGGGTAGGTATAAGTTGTAAGCTACTTCGGTAACTTCAAGTTTCTGTAGAGGATAAGTAGAAATAACTTTAACAAGCAGTTTCGCCTTATGTAGGTGTTTTTTTACAAACGTGTAAAAAATGTTTATTATATTTCGGATATGTTCTGGGGGCACGGCAGTGCCCCCGCCAAGTCGAGCAAAAAAGCGGCACGGCCGTACCATACCGTACTTTTCTCGAAGCAATTCAGGCCATTTTCGACCCCCTATAACTACGTAGTGGATAAAACTAGAAGCCTTTTCAGTGACCGAGTAGGCATTGTATAAAAATGGTATATTTCAAATTTCATTCAATTTGAACCAGTAGTTTAAGAATTATAACTAGTCAAAGTTTCTTAATTTTATCACTCACTGACTGACCGATCATCAAAACTCTAAGGCACTTCTAGCAGACGTAGAAGCTTCAAATTTAGAATACAATTAGTGTTTAATGTATAAATCAAGGAAAAACTAAAATATTTTTTAACTTTGGTACAGTTTTCTAGATACACCAACTGCATAAATAACTTTGTAATTCCATATAAATATATAAAATTACAAAGTTACATTTGCAGTTAATGAATCAGTGTACTTGTATATGTGTCATAGATGCAGATAAGTACGTTTTTGGTATTTAAGAAGTAGAAGGTACCGGAAAGGAAAAAAACTAGGACTATCTACAAAAAGAATGTCAATAAGTCAATTTATTTATTTAAAACATAAAAGATTTTTAACATTGATATGGTCACTAAGATGTTGTCAGATTAGCTACGTAATAACTTAAAACAGAAGGACCCTAAAGTAGGGACTGAATATATTGTTACGCGCTCAAGTCGACGATACACTAGCGCCATCTAGTGTCAGGAACGAGAGCGAGGGGAGCATTGAGAAAGTGACATCACAAATCACTCAACCGACAGCGCCTAGTCGAAACTCGAACGCTCGGTACCTTGCGCGTGTTTACTTGAACATTCTGGATATTTCTTTGCTAATTTAAATAAGTAGGCGCTGCAAGATGCGATCAGGGCAGAGTTGAACTCGGCAACACAAGCGAAGCTTCGGAGCGGAATTAAGTGAATTAGTGTGTTTAATTATTAGTGTTTTTAGTTTTAATTTGTGTAAAGTAAATTAAGTGTTAATTTAGGTAATTTTATCGGCAATTTTTATTGTCACGAACCTCAAGCTCGTAACAATTGGTGTCAGAAGTGGGATAAAATAATGCCGATTTTACCTAAGGAGGAAACGGAGGGTGTCCGTACCCGAAGTCAACGCCAGCAGGAGACGGACCAACGAAGATTTGGTGGTGCAACGCCGCAGACGTCGGAGGACCAGCCACCGGCTGCAGGCCCGTCGGTAGCTCCTACATCTGCAGTACCTGACTTAGGTGCTCTGATGGTGATGCTGCAGGAGCAGGCTCGCCGACAGGAGGAACAGGTCCGTCAGTTGAAAGAGCAGCTGCAGAGCGGACAAGAGGAACAGGCCCGTCAGCAGGCGGAACAGGCTCGTCGGTCGGAAGAGCAGATGCTCCTCATGAAGGACCTTCACGCTACCTTTGGTAAAGAGATAAGGGACGTGAAGGATAGGGTTGCTCAACACGACAACCGCCTATCGGAACCTGAAACCCGAATCGAAGAACATGAAACCCGAATCAACCATGTGATCAATCGGGTTGACAACGTGATGGCTGACGTGAGGAAAACGCTAAACGACCTCAAACTTGCGGATGGAACTACAGCTCCCGTAGTAGCTGCAGTACCTTCGCTACGTGGATTCAAAGTGCCGCCGTTCGACGGGACCTCTTCCTGGTCGGCCTACAAAATCCAGTTCGAGGCCGTCATGGAGGCGAACGGCTGGAATAAAAGCCAAGCCATGACTGCACTCACCCTAGGCCTGCGCGACCAAGCCTTAACTGTGTTGGAAGCCCTCGGTAAGAAAGTGACCTATGAGCAGCTTCTTGAGGCCTTGGAAGCGAGATATGGCGACGCTCATCTGGAACACGTCTTTCGCGCGCAGCTTAAAGATCGCGTGCAGCGCAGCAACGAGAACCTGCACCAGTGGGCCCTTGAGGTGGAGAAGATGGTTCGAAAAGCATACCAGTCTGTACCTGCGCTCATTGAAGGGAACCTGGTTCAGACATTCATCGACGGCATCCGCGACCTTGAAGTCAGAGCTGCTGTGAGACTCGGGCACCACGACACGCTTAAGAACGCCTTGGCCCATGCACTGGAGGTGGAAGCCGTGCGGCAGGATCATCGTTCCCATCGCATCAGGGAGGTTGCAGCAGCTACAGTTCGCGACCGCAACAAAGGATACAGCCCAAGGTGCTATGGCTGTGGGCAAAAGGGCCATCTTCGATCCAGCTGCCCTAAGCGAACCGTGGAAAGGAGAGTTGATCGATCTCGAGAGGGTCGTGCAGCTGTCGTTCCCCTAGCGCTAGGGTGGTTGCCGCAGTTACGGTTCGCGACCACAATAAAGGATACAGCCCCAGGTGCTATGGTTGTGGGGAAAGGGGCCATATTCGGTCCAGCTGCCCCAAGCACACCTTAGGAAGGGAAGGTGAACGGTCTCAGAAAGGAAGTGCGGCTAACAGCACCGCCCAGCAGCAGCAGGAATACGACCTTACTATCGAACATCGCAGCGGGAAATCTCACGGCAACGCAGATGCATTGTCAAGAAGACCTTGTCCTGAAGATTGCAACCATTGTAGTAGGCAAGAGAGTAAGGAGGTGGTATCCGTGAGGATGCTCAGGACAGACCACCTCAGCAACGGGTGGAAGGACAGCCTACGACATGCACAGCAGGAAGATCCGGACATCAAGCCGATTCTGGGATGGATGAAGGCCCGTGCTACCAAGCCTAAGTGGAGGGACGTCTCAGCGATGAGTTCAAACACGAAAAGCTATTGGGCCCAATGGGACAGCTTGCTGATTCAGGATGAAGTCCTGTGCCGTAAATGGGACAATGGTCGAAGAGACAGCTGTCATTTGCAAATGGTTGTCCCTAAAGCTAAAGTGCCGAATGTTCTACAGCTGTGCCATAATGGTCGTTCAAGAGTCCATCTGGGAGTTAAACGAACTCTACTGAAGGTCCGAGAACAGTTTTACTGGGTCCATTATCGTGACGATGTCGAGGATTGGTGTCGTACATGTACAAGTTGTGCGGCCGTGCGGGGACCTCAGACACGTAGTAGAGGAGCACCGAAATTGTACAATGTTGGTGCACCACGGGATAGGACAGCCCTTGACATTGCGGAGCCGTTACAGAAAGGCGCAAGAGGGACTCCTAAGATCGTCCATGTGAATCGCTTGGCGCGTTATTATGGGGCCGATAATGCTCGGGACGAGCATGTCTTAGGAGGGGGCAGTGTTACGCGCTCAAGTCGACGATACACTAGCGCCATCTAGTGTCAGGAACGAGAACGAGGGGAGCATTGAGAAAGTGACATCACAAATCACTCAACCGACAGCGCCTAGTCGAAACTCGAACGCTCGGTACCTTGCGCGTGTTTACTTGAACATTCTGGATATTTCTTTGCTAATTTAAATAAGTAGGCGCTGCAAGATGCGATCAGGGCAGAGTTGAACTCGGCGACACAAGCGAAGCTTCGGAGCGGAATTAAGTGAATTAGTGTGTTTAATTATTAGTGTTTTTAGTTTTAATTTGTGTAAAGTAAATTAAAGTGTTAATTTAGGTAATTTTATCGGCAATTTTTATTGTCACGAACCTCAAGCTCGTAACAATATTAATCGACTTGGGATTACATGGATCTCACAACTTTTTAAGGTAGTAGAACTGAGTTGCGAGACTTTGTTTTTTTTACAAGTTATGTTTTTGATGGCATTATAAGTATTCCTGGCTTTGCCTGGGTAGATTTACAACAATCATCAAAGTTTATCTATTTCGCGATTTTTAAAACCGTCTAAACGTTTTTCGGGTAAAAAAATAGCCTGGCAAAACTCCTGACATTGCTCTCTATCTGTTCGTAATGTTTCATAATAGCGATTCTGAAAATTTCATTTATACAAGATTTTAAAATGTTTAAAAGCTTGTACCGATGAAATTTTGATTTCAATTTAAGTGCTGATTTATCATATGCTTAGCGGTGAAGAAAAACGTCGTGACGAAAGATGCATGTCTGAAAAATATTTAGAAAACATGTGAAATGTGTGAGACTTGGTGCTCCATTACTCCCAGAAATGAGAAGTCTATACCGTTACACAGCACACAGTCCACTTGATGATAAGTGAATATTGCAACCCATAGATATCTACATTTATCTCAATTTAGAATCAAAATGGTGATATATTGTCACCCCTGAGGACAAAGATGGAATGCTTCGTTTCCAGTAAAAAGGGTCTCCAGTTCTAGTCACTCACCATACGAAACACATTTGAGGCTAATATTCTGTGAGAGCGTGGTTATTTCTCTATCAACCATAATATACCTCAGCTCTGCCACGTGCGAAAACATACAGCAACCAGACACAAGACATCTGTAATGAATATAATGGCCTCCAGACCGAATTTCGGTCACGGCGGTCTGTCTCAACGGAGACTAGCCATCGACGCACAACAGAATTATAGTGCCCAAGTATATGCGCAACCACAGGTGCACTCTCTATTCCCTCACTCTCATAATCCGATGGGACGGTAAACCGACACGACTGGAGAGAGATCAGGCGCAAGGCTTTACGTGCTTTCCGAGGCACGGGGGTGAGACACCACCAACTTCCTGACTCCGGGCAGCTACTGAGAATTTCTTAATAGAAAATGAAAATGAAAATTAAAAAAAATGGAGAAACTCAATAACAGATATTTTTTGGTCCGACCCGGGATTTGAACCCGGGACCTCACGATCAGCAGTAGCACAATTACAAGCACTAGACCAACGGGGCAGTCATGATTATACAGTAACCAGGAACTATTTTTAAAATCCTCCTTCCGCAGACGAGGTCCGCACAGGTACCTACCGCCAGCTATTCCACCCGGAGCAGCTGATCACTGGCAAAGAGGACGCGGCGAATAACTACGCGCGCGGACACTACACCATCGGCAAGGAGATTGTGGACGTCGTGCTCGACAGGATCAGGAAACTCGCCGATCAATGTACCGGCCTGCAGGTATAGATTTTATGTTATAAATGTTCCCCCACACTAGTGTTTCCTCCTGTACGTGAAGGCAGTTTATATACATAAAATTCATAAGTACAAACATCAAGATCCGGAACAATTAGGTAGTAGTAGGCAATACAAATACTTAATTCACAGAAATCTAAATAATATTTATATTTCTGTGACTTATTCCGTGAGGGATTGGAACCCGCGGCCTTCCGCGCCGCAGCTAAGCTAAGCCACTTCGCTACGGAGTCGTCAATTACAGACTTCTGTATTCGTCAAATTTCATCCGCCACGAGTAGTAGTTCTGGACCGATATGATTTAGGATATATTATTTTTAAAAGCCGACAACGTGCCTCCGATTCCCCCTGGTGTTACAATTGTTCATTAGTGGCGGTAGTCACCACCAGGAGATCACAATAAGAAGAAGACTTCGACTACTGAGTTTGCACAAACCGTATTTGGTGGATAAGGTTGTGGCTAGGGCTGCCACCTGTACTTTCGGTAAATTGTACTATATATTATAAAAAATAATATAGTTCGAAAAATACTATATTTTTATCTCTAATTTAACTGTCGCGCTTTTTTATATTAACTGTAATTGGAAGTCTGGAACAAGTAAGTTTTACGGAAAGAATTTCCTCCATTATGAATGTAAAATTGAAAAAAGAAAGAAAAAGAGCGCGTATTAATGTAATTAAAAATTAATTGTTATTTTTTTAATATGAATCTAAATTGCTCAGACTATGGAGTGTAGAAGTAAGGAGAACAGACTCTGTATTAAAAAGTGTCCATAGAAAACCGTTAAATAAGGGTGGCGCCACTATAGCTATGGGCTAAATTTTGAAGAACGTGCCGAAAAATATTAGTAGGATAGACGACTTTTTCGAGGTTATATTTACTAAATAAAATTATTTTAGATTTTAGAGCTACTGAGCAGTTTAGCAGCACACTTCAAACCGTCGACAACTGCTAAGTTCATTTCATCCTAGTAGCTACTCCAGCGTTGTTGTGGAGAGTTTTTGAACTGTTATTTACTACTTACAGATGGCCGCTTTTTCAACTATTCTATTATGGAAGTTGGTACTCCTTTCTTCTACACTCCATAGCTCAGACTCTTACAATTATTTTAAAAGTAAGGTACAATGTAAGGTGCTTAGATCATTGACTGTCAAAGCAAAGAGCTAACAAATATATATGCAAAAATACATAAAGATTTAAACTAAATGTGTACTTTTTTCTTGAATTTGTCAAAAGTACTATATTTTTGCATCTTTTTAGGAAAAATACTATATTTGTTCAAAAAAAAACGTGGCAACCCTAGTTGTGGCGTTATACAAACTACTGTCCCATTTCGTTACGTAGATGTGGGTCATAAAACAGACTATGAAAAAAGCTAGACAGATGTTCTATATGATATATATAAGTTATAACAGATTGCATTATACCATCGCATATCCGTATCGCGTTCCTCCAGAACGAATTTCGGCCACGGCGGCCTGCCTCAACGGAAGCTAGCCATCTTCGCAGGAGAGGATTATAGTGTCCAAGGGTATGCGCAGGTACAGGTGCACTCTCTCTTCCCTAACTCTCATAATCCGATGTGGCGGTAAGCCGACACGACCGGAGAAAGATCAGGCGCAGAAGCAACGGCTTTACGTGCTTTCCGAGGTACGGGGGTGAGACACCGCCAACTTCCTGACCCCGGGCAGCTACTGAGAATTTTTTGACGGTAAAACTCAATAATTGATTTTTTGGCCCGACCCAAGATTCGAATCCAGGACCTCATGATCAGCAGTCGCACTATAACAACCACTAGACCAACCAGGCATTCAAACGTCACATGTAAAAGATCCAGACCGTCAAGTTACGGGACATCCAGCGAAATTAGCCAAGTTGACTTCCTACAGTCGTTGACAATAGATATAAAGCGTACGGTAAACGTTATAATATTTTACAAGGTTGTCATCGTCATTCGTTGGGATTCGCTTCACTATGTTTACAGTGCATTTTTCGTTTCTATAAAGTACATTATTTTACTTATAGCCCGCTTATTGCCGTGTCAGCTTACAAAGTGTTGAACCTTGGTGGGTGACGTTCATTTTAGCACCTTTTTTATAACTCTCTTTCGTGTACTGTCTGGGCCGAATTTAGTAATTTGTATAAAACTAACTTCTCGATGAGCTAGACTTGAAATTTCGAATATAGAAGAGAATCGGATGACAATGTAAGAATTTAAAAAAAATTACTTCTGATAAAACTTTTTCATACGTATATACTTTTTTAAAATTCACTTGTTATTTCTTTGCACAGCTTGTAAAGCTTGTTATGTTATCATACATTTCCAGATTAATAGAATTTTCATACTTAAAAAAATTGCAATGAAGCGAATGAAATGTGTAGGGCTTCCTGGTGTTCCACTCGTTCGGCGGCGGCACTGGCTCCGGCTTTACGTCGCTGCTGATGGAGCGCCTCTCCGTCGACTACGGCAAGAAGTCCAAGCTCGAGTTCTCCATCTACCCGGCGCCACAGGTGATTCTTCCTTTTAACGTTTTATTTATTTACGTTTGTGAAACAATACTTCTAATAGCCACGTTGTAGCTGAATACTTGCTTGACGAGAGATCAAACATATTAATGATTTATTATGTTTATACGAATACTATACATTGAATAAAACTAATTTTATAGATTTTAAGTTAACTTCTAGTTAATTACCTTTACCTAGTTACCGTTACTTATAGCATGCACCCGGTTCTACCTGGTTCTAAAAAAACGGGTATACCCGGTTCCTTTTTAGCTAAAAGAACCGGGTCCAAAATCATGATACCCGGTTCTACCCGGTTCTTGTTCAACGGGGTAAATTTAAGCTATATTTATTATTTGACTCTCTTATGATACGGTCATCACTAAAATCAGCATTTTAATTTTTAATTACACTTTAATTAAACTAGGTAGGTATTTATTTGTTGTTTTAAAATAACTTAAAACTTGTGTGCAACGGAAGGTCCCCTTGAAATGACAACAAATTACCCAAGTCTGCTAATAGTGTAAGAGATATTCTTAGTAAAAAATATGAAAAAAGGAAGCAAAAATTGTTAGAAAAAATCAAGAAGATATTGTCTAAAGGTTAACAAATTTTCTATCTAATTCGACTATACATGCGTTTAACATTACACTCCGAACATTTTTCTGGTTACCAGATTTCTTAATCTCGGTCTCATACGAGTATACGGTTCCATTAACGCACAGAAATGTGTAAAAGAACTTGAAAACAAATTAATATAATTTGGAATATCGATCTCTAATGATATTTTAGGAGTAATGACGGACGGCTGTAGCCTCATGATAAAAGCTTGTAAGTTTCTAGCCCATGCATCACATCTCATGCTACACAACTGGCAATCGTTGACGTCATGTACAAAAAAACGATTAAGATGAAAGTAAACTCAGTTTCTCAGAAATTCAGGAAGAAGAGGATGAAGAAGACATTCTGTTGGCTGAATTAGCTCCAAGACAACAAGGCTGTGAATTTAATGATGACGTTGATGAAGAGTCTAATACAGACGAGGACGGTGTTTACTTTTGTAATGACACACTAATTCCAGAAACCAGTTTTCGTGAGCCTGATTTACACAACTATCATCTTATATGCAAAGTAAGAAAATCAGTAAGGTTATTTAGAAAATCTCCGACCAGAAACGATGAAATTCTGCAGAAATACGTGCTTTTAGAATTTGGTAAAGAGTTCTGTTTATTATTGGACTCGCAAACACGCTGTAGCAGTATAGCAATCATGCTTGATCGATTGTTAAAATTGAAAGATGCAATAACAAAATCTGTCATTGATTTGAAATTAGTAATTGCTTTTTCTAACAATGACTGGCAAAATATCAAACAGCTTTCAGAGATTTTAAATGTAATCGAAACTGTTGTTAACGCTTTATGCCGTCGCGATGCATCGCTAATGACTGCCGATATTGCTATCAAGTTTGGATTGAAAAAAATACAAGATATGAATAATTATCTAGCTAACAAAATATTTGAAGCTTTGAGTAAGATATACAAGCAGCGCCGCCTTGTTGAAGCAGCTACTTTGCTTACTTATTTTTAGAACAAAGAGAAAGATGATATATCAGTATTTTCTAACCTCACCAGTAACGAGATGTGTGACCAAATAGGTACTCTATATTAATACAAAGAACCGTGAAAATTGAAGAGACTGGACTGTCAGTGGCAGAAATAAGCAGTGAAGTTCAGGAAGTTAAAATATTAAAATACAAGATTTGGCCAATGAAGAAGAGACAGAAAGTGTTGATTTTTTTTATTATTTCAGAGAATCACTGTGAGAAAATAAATCTCGTTGATTTTTTTTCTTTGATTTCATTTCGTTCGTTAATTCCTTGAATTGTTTTTCTAAATTTTATTTGTATGAAGCTTAGAAAACAAGCTGATTTTTTGTTTGATTTTATAATAATTAGGATTGTAAAATTTTTTATTGATTAAATACACATCACTATCACCATTGACTACAAATTAATGTAGGTTTATTTTGCCCTAAGGAATTTTTTACTATTAAGAACCGAAAAGAACCGGGTATCCGGTTTTGTATGGAACTGGATCCGAAAAACCCGGTTCTTAAATACGGGCCGGTTCTGTATCCTCTACCGTTACTGCACATCAAAAGTCCATTGATGTATTATAATATATATGACCTTTTTACCGTCTGGAAAAAATAGGATGTAACATATGAACGGAGTAGAAGCCTAGGGCACTAAATTGATATTTTACTAAACATGAAAACAAAAACTTTGATTTAAATTAATTAATTAATTAATTAAAATCTATCGAAATTCAAATTCAAATTCATATGACACCGTACTTTACGAACGGCAATAAATAATATTACTAACGTATAGAATAGACATACCGAACTAAAAGTTTGCTTCATTTTGATAAGAGTTAGAACCAAAGTTCGCAGCAGCGCTAAAATAATAGTTACGTCGTCTAACCGAACTATTAAAACATGCAGCGCTAGTTTACATTAGGGATTAGTTTTCTCGCGACCAAAATGTCATAAGCGCCAGGAATTTCATGGCGCTTACGCGTATCGTTGAACATAGTGTACAACAAGTCGCTCCCATAGATTTTACATTTTGCCCGATTCTCGTGAGCATTGTAACAACGCGAAAAACTTTAAATCAAAGAGTTTTATACGTTTTAATGTCTACTTATCGACGAAATGTTAAATCAGTTTTTTTTATGTTCTGGAGTGTTCACTGCAGTCTTTAAGAACACAACCAGGCATTTTGAAGTTATTTATGCTAAGCGAACACTACTCGTCTATGTGGGCGTTGGACACTCACTAAACAGTTGTGGTACAGTGTACCGCAAAGCGTGGCATAAAGTCATGCAAGGCGTTGTTGAAATTTAGTTTGGATTTATCGCGTATATTTAAAAAGTTAAATATACGCGATAAATTCCGTAAAAACTAGTATTATTTCAATGTGTAGTGTTTGCGTAAATATAAGAAATCAAGGCGTTGTTTTCTATATACGTAATAGTAATACCTCAATGCAATAAAACAATAAATTTTGTAGGCATCTTTGACCTTGTCACTTCGCATGGTCACAAGCTCAAGGGCAAAGGGCAAAGTAATTGTTCAAAGTTTTTTTTTTTTTCAAACGTTTTATTCAAAATTTTTGTTTTTATTTTTTGGAAAATATCAGTGCCATATGCTTCTACTCCATATAACATCACCTCACAGGGGAAATATTTGCCATAGTATTGCTAAGCTTAGCATGCGGGTTGGCAACAGTTTTTATAATGTTTAATTGTTATTTTTCCTAATCTCCTCGTCTTCTGACGCTTCCACCCACATTCTGGTATGTTTCCCGTCTTCTTCACCTCTTCTTCCCTCCCCCCTCCGTGACCATGGGTGACATTAAAAAAATAAAATCAATAAAATCAGTAAAATCAGTTTAATTTAATATATCGATAACCTAAAAGAAAACATAATTGCTTAGCGGAGGATTTACTTTTATATTTCGCTTCACCTAATGGATAAAGAATTTATGGTGTACCTTTAGGTATCAACAGCAGTGGTGGAGCCGTACAACTCGATCCTGACGACGCACACAACGCTCGAGCACTCGGACTGCGCGTTCATGGTGGACAACGAAGCCATCTACGACATCTGCCGGAGAAACCTCGACATTGAGCGCCCCACCTACACCAACCTTAACCGGCTCATCGGCCAGGTAACATGTACATGTAGACATGGATATTCAATAAAATTTCATAGCACTCGAGAAACTTATTCACTTCCCGATCAACCGACCCGGTGACCTATTAGTGCTCCAGTCACTACACAGTATTTTACACAGTGGTTTTACCACAATAAATATTATAATTAAAATACTGCTTTTAATTATCATCATCATCTTTACAGCCCCTCACAAGTCCACTGCTGAACATAGGCCTCCCCCAAGGGTGAGTCGTCACTTCAGATAGTGGGGGGTCGCCCTACATTACGCCTATCGGTACGAGGCTGCCACTTGAGAACCTTTTTTTCCCTATCAGTTGTCGGTTCTTCGAGCTATATGGCCGGCTCATTGCCACTTCAGCTTACTAATCCGTTGGGCTATGTCAGTCATTCTAGTTCTACTGCGGATGTCCTCATTTCTAAGTTTATCACGCAGATACGCACCGAGCACAGCCCTCTCCATAGCTCGCTGAGCGAACTTGAGCGTCCTCATACGGCCAGAAGTGCAGAACCACGTCTCAGATCCATAAGTCATCACTGGCAACACGCACTGGTTGTACAATCTAGTTTTAAGGTTTTGAGGTATCAACGGCTTTAGGTGCTTTCCGAGGCACGGGGATGAAACACTGCCAACTTCCTGATTTCGGGCTGATGCTGAGAATTTCTTGATAGAAAAACAATAACTGATGTTCGGCGCCACCGTTTATACAAGGTAGAGCTACGCTGCAGCTATAGTATGGTTTTAGCAGGAATGAGTTGACTCGACCGAGTGAGGACCACACTCTCACATAAAATCAACGTAAAATAGCAGCTTAATGCTGCTGTTTCATATGGTGTGTGAGGAGAACCGAAGATCCTTTTTACAGGATACGAGACATTCCATCTTTAACCCTTTCAGCACGAGAATTTTTTTATTGATTTCTGAAAAATTTAGTAAATTTCCTGAGACTTGAGGGTCTTAGTAAACAGAGAAAAATAGTAAAAAAATCTGGGGGTGGTTCTCCCCCATTATACTACCCACACGATCGTATCATTCCGTCACGACCCTGTAAATAGTATTTTGTTTAGGGTTTCAGTTACAGTTGTAAGTGAAAAATATAAGGCTAAATATAAGGAACTGTATTTTTCTTTGTGTAACAAACATATCTTGTCTTGCTTAACATAATTAACGTAACTTCTTAACGTCAGTAAGAAAATTAATTAAATAATACTTTTAAACTTACAAACATTTAATATTTCTTAGAGTAATTTTTAACAGTTGTGATCAATCTTCATTCAGTCAGGAATTATTCTTCAAGTACTTAAATAACTATCAGAGATCAAAAGTATAGAGTTATTATTAATAATAAAAGACTTATTTTTTATAATAGTCGTAAAAACAATTATTAGCTCGAGAAAGGCACAAGTAAATGTTGCATTTTGAACAAAGAATCTTCGATCGTGATTTACAATCTTCCATTCGGTAGCTTCTTGGGACATTTATTGTGCGCGTCATTATTTGTGACAAATACAAGATGATTTCGGGCCATTTTTCTAGACTTCTATCAAAAACTGGATTTTGTGGGTAGTAAATCTCAAAACTGACCATGAGGCCTCGGTATGGAGTAACTACATAGTTTTTTAATGCCAGCGGTCGTGATTTGTTACGCACTAATTCAAGAATGCAACATCTTCCCGTAAAATGAATTATTTGCTCGTCGATACTGTGGCAGTCTGGCGACCTCTCAATTTTTTCGTAAGCGATGTGAATGACTTAGATTACTGGCTGTATTTTCCAGAGCAGGTTTGTATTATTTGGTGGTGGTGTGTCCGAAAAGACAACATGCAGATTGTTGCGGAGCTGTAAGAAACGGAGTTGTAAGAAACAGTCCCTAGTAATGACATTAGATATAAGTTGCAAATCTATACCTTGACGCCAGTACATATGGATTCTGAGATAGCTAATACATCCTATTACCAGTAAAACTTTGACCTTTATTTTCAAAGGGCCTTTTTCTCAGTTTTGTGTCGCTGGTCCGTCTGCGGTGATCGGGCACTACATGCAAGGGATTGGCTAAGTTCAACTGATGCCCGACTGCGACTTGTAGTGGCAATAGGCGGTCGTCGATTTGTTGACGACGCGGACGGACTGCAACACGAGGATGACGGCTGTACATCGATTGTGCGACATGGTTTTATGAAAGGTTGTGTGCGGTAAAACGTTGACGCTTAGATGGTGGCTCACCCTCTGGCATTGAAAACTCTGGATTTTGTACAGGAACATCGGCTTCGGTGTAAGGTCTTAAGGTGGACTCTGCGTCCATTTCATCCTCTGTGCTGGTCTGTTCTGCCGTGGCTGCTCTACTGAGAAGATCTTCGCCATCTGAATCTTTGAGCTCTTAGTTACAACCATCTCCGATGAGTTCATGAACCAATTCCGAAGTCAAAGGCCCTAAAAGAAACGAAAAATTTACATTACAAAAAAACAAACACCGTCCTGACACGCACGATTGTGTTTTATATCTTCAGGTGCTTTCAGAACCCAACTTTTCAAATTTTGATTGAAAATAAAAACTAATTCTACATTTTTAGGATACATTTCAAATAAATGTAAATAAAACATATTAAAATCTATCAATTAAGTTATTTAAATAAATACTTACTTTGCGTGCCTCCCATCTTTAAGTACGCGACCATACTTGTCACTTGACACAACACCGACTGAGCGCCAATGAAGGACTTTATTTTTAAAATATTGTTACGAGCTTGAGGTTCGTGACAATAAAAATTGCCGATAAAATTACCTAAATTAACACTTTAATATACTTTACACAAATTGAAGTTAAAACACTAATAATTAAACACACTAATTCACTTTATTCCGCTCCGAAGCTTCGCTTGTGTCGCCGAGTTCAACTCTGCCCCGATCGCATCTTGCAGCGCCTATTTATATAATTAGCAAAGAAGCGTCCCGAACATTCAAGTAAATGCGCGCCAGGCAACGAGTATTCGAGTGTAGATTTTCCAGAAACTTAGTTCTTCGGGTGGCGCTGTCGGTCGAGTGATTTGTGATGTCATTTTCTCAATGCTCCCCTCGCTCTCGTTCCTGACACTAGATGGCGCTAGTGTATCGTCGACTTGAGCGCGTAACACTGCTCCTTCCTAAGACATGCTCGTCCCGAGCATTATCGGCCCCATAATAACGCGCCAAGCGATCCACATGGACGATCTTAGGAGTCCCTCTTGCGCCTTTCTGTAACAGCTCAGCAAAGTCAAGGGCTGTTCTATCCCGTGGTGCACCAACATTGTACAATTTCAGTGCTCCTCTACTACGTGTCTGAGGTCCCCGCACGGCCGCACAACTTGTATATGTACGACACCAATCCTCGACATCGTCACGATAATGGACCCAGTAAAACTGTTCTCGGACCTTCAGTAGAGTTCGTTTAACTCCCAGATGGACTCTTGAACGACCATTATGGCACAGCTGTAGAACATTCGGCACTTTAGCTTTAGGGACAACCATTTGCAAACGACAGCTGTCCCTTCGACCATTGTCCCATTTACGGCACAGGACTCCATCCTGAATCAGCAAGCTGTCCCATTGGGCCCAATAGCTCTTCGTGGTTGAACTCATCGTTGAGACATCCCTCCACTTAGGCTTGGTAGCACGGGCCTTCATCCATCCCAGAATCGGCTTGATGTCCGGATCTTCCTGCTGTGCATGTCGTAGGCTGTCCTTCCACCCGTTGCTGAGGTGGTCTGTCCTGAGCATCCTCACGGATACCACTTCCTTACTCTCTTGCCTACTACAATGGTTGCAATCTTCAGGACAAGGTCTTCTTGTCAATGCATCTGCGTTGCCGTGAGATTTCCCGCTGCAGTGTCTGATAGTAAAGTCGTATTCCTGCTGCTGCTGGGCGGTGCTGTTAGCCGCACTTCCTTTCTGAGACCGTTCACCTTCCCTTCCTAGAGTTAGTTTAGGGCAGCTGGATCGAAGATGGCCCTTTTCCCCACAGCCATAGCACCTAGGGCTGTATCCTTTGCTGCGGTCACGGACTGTAGCTGCTGCAACCTCCCTGACGCGATGGGAACGATGATCCTGCCGCACGGCTTCCACCTCCAGTGCATGGGCCAAGGCGTTTTTAAGCGTCTCGTGGTGCCCGAGCCTCACAGCAGCTCTGACTTCCAGGTCACGGATGCCGTCGATGAATGTCTGCACCAGGTTCCCTTCAATGAGCGCAGGTACAGACCGGTATGCTTTTCGCACCAGCTTCTCCACATCTAGAGCCCACTGCTGCAGGTTTTCGTTGATGCGCTGCACGCGATCTTTAAGCTGCGCACGAAAGACGTGTTCCAGGTGAGCGTCGCCATATCTCGCCTCCAATGCCTCAAGGAGTTGCTCATAAGTCACTTCCTCACCGAGAGCTTCCAGAACTGTTAAGGCCTGGTCGCGCAGGCCTAGTGTGACAGCAGTCATGGCCTGACTTTTATTCCAGCCATTCGCCTTCATAACAGCCTCGAATTGGATTTTGTAGGCTGACCAGGAAGAAATCCCGTCGAATGGTGGCACTTTGAACCCACGTAGCGAAGGTGTAGTAGCTACTACGGGATCTGTAGTTCCATCACCCAGTTTGAGGTCGTCCAGCGTTTTCTTCACGTCAGCCACCACGTAATCAACCCGATTGTTCACTTGGTCGATTTGGGTTTTAGCTTCCTTGATTTGGGTTTCAGCTTCCGACAGGCGGTTGTCATGTTGAGCAACCTTATCCTTCACCTCCTTTATCTCTTTCCCGAAGGTAGCATGAAGGTCCTTAATGAGGAGCATCTGCTCTTCCGACCGACGGGCCTGTTCCTCCTGTCGGCGGGCCTGCTCCTCTTGTCCGCTCCGCAGCTGCTCTTCCAATCGGCGGGCCTGTTTCTCCTGTCCGCTCTGCAGCTGCTCTTTCACCTGACGGACCTGTTCCTCCTGTCGGCGAGCCTGCTCCTGCAGCATCACCATCAGAGCACCTAAGTCAGGTGCTGCAGATGGCCTTCAGCCGGTGGCTGGCCCTCCGACGTCTGCGGCGTTGCACCACCAAATCTTCGTTGGTCCGTCTCCTGCTGGCGTTGACTTCGGGTACGGACACCCTCCGTTTCCTTCTTTTCTTTTTTCTTCTTTCCACTTCTGACACCAATTGTTACGAGCTTGAGGTTCGTGACAATAAAAATTGCCGATAAAATTACCTAAATTAACACTTTAATTTACTTTACACAAGTTAAAGTTAAAAACACTAATAATTAAACACACTAATTCACTTTATTCCGCTCCGAAGCTTGGCTTGTGTTCAACTCTGCCCCGATCGCATCTTGCAGCGCCTGTTTATATAATTAGCAAAGAAGCGTCCCGAACATTCAAGTAAATGCGCGCCAGGCAACGAGTATTCGAGTGTAGATTTTCCAGAAACTTAGTTCTTCGGGTGGCGCTGTCGGTCGAGTGATTTGTGATGTCATTTTCTCAATGCTCCCCTCGCTCTCGTTCCTGACACTAGATGGCGCTAGTGTATCGTCGACTTGAGCGCGTAACAATATCATATTTAATGAAACGCACAGTCGATCGACAGCGTTTTGGCGCGGTAAAATTGGTTAGCATATTCATAAGAATTTATTAAAGTTGAACGCACTATCGCATCATTCTGTGCGGAAAAGGGTTAGGAATGACAGTGCATCTGCATTTTGATTCTTACTGGAGGATAAATGTAGGTGTGCACACAACATCCACTTACCATCAGTTGGACTGTGTGCTCGTTTGTTATCCTTATACTACAAAAAAATACTACGCACACCAGTGTATATATAACACGTGCTGAGCGAGAGACTGCACTTTCAGATCGTGTCGTCGATCACGGCGTCGCTGCGGTTCGACGGCGCGCTGAACGTGGACCTGACGGAGTTCCAGACCAACCTGGTTCCGTATCCGCGCATCCACTTCCCGCTCGCCACGTACGCGCCCGTCATCTCCGCGGAGAAGGCATACCACGAGCAGCTCACCGTCGCCGAGATCACCAACGCCTGCTTCGAGCCCGCTAACCAGGTCAGCTTTTATATGTCTTTATGCTTATATTTTGTATGTCGTCACAGCCGATCCACTGCTGAACATAGGTCCCCCACAGATTGCTTCATAAAATATTTGTCAAAGTTCTCACACTTGGTAGGCGGTTTGGCAACTGGGTTTTTTTTTTCTTAGCAAGTCGCTGCTCCTTATCTCCCATGTTTGTTTCCCACTGTCGCCTCTTCGACACCCACGGGGCGATATGGAGTATTGGATATTGTACAAAATGCAGTACATTTAGGTCAGAGCGCTCGCAATAAGCATTTATACGCTGATCCAAATTACTTAGCTTAATTATCGCAATAGATATCCTTTGTACACGCATGTTTATTTATTTATTAAACTTTAATTTTAGAAGTCGCTGAATTAAGGCAATATTTCTATCTATCTCTTTGGCACCCTCTGAACCATAAACGGGTTGATGGATTTAAACATATTATGAATTATGAGGTATCGCCTTAGTTGTAGTAACATAATATGATATAAATAATTTTTTTTTCTTTTACAAAAGACTTTTTATGCAGTCAGGTTTATTAATTACTTTTTTTAACGATTAAGGTTTTTTAACTTTAAATTTCTTTTACAATCTTTCTTAACCTACTGTTGAATATAATGTCTATATTCTCGCATTGATTACTCAGTTTCAACAATATTTAAGGTTCAGATTTGATATTTTTAAATAATTATTTTACCATCAGTAGGTCGTCCATTTCCACGTTTCGATGATCCCTAGATTTTTAATTCTACTTTTTGTAAAAAATGTCTGTACCTACGTACGCATGCGCATAGAGTGCGTACGTAGTGCGTGTGTGTGTATCCGTGTGGTAGGTATTAGTACGTGCGCGTATTCGTGTGTGCTTGTGTAATTTGTGAAAAAGATACGTGGAACTGAATTAATGCCTATAGAATATATTTTATACGGTAAAATAGTAACTGGTAGGAGTAAAATAGTCGATTTGTGTGTTTAATGCCGTTTCTTTTAACAAGGTCTTACCACAGTATAGACTTGTCTAGTCTAGTAGTAGACTTGAAAAGATGGAGTAGCTGCTGATTTTCAAAAAATTCTTTGTATAAGCCAATTTTGCATAAAAATATTTTGACTGACTTAATTCTTGGATATAAGTACATAATTATAAAAAGTTGGAAGAAGTTTAGTGTAAGATATTTTCGTAAAATACTGAATTTTAAATGCATGTTTGATTTTTGAACGGCAGTGATATTCTGTAAATTTTCTAAGTCCAATTGACCAGAATCAAAATTCACGGGTATTCTGTAAGCTGTAATAACTAAAACTAAAGGAATGATCACTAAATGATTATACTCTAACTAAAGTAATTCTTGCCTCTTATAAGCACTTAACATGGACGTTTTATGATTGCAGATGGTGAAATGCGACCCCCGTCACGGCAAATATATGGCGTGCTGCATGCTGTACAGGTGAGCTGCTTGTTCTGCTTCAACAGCCTATAGAACTATAGCTGGACATAAAGCTCTGCCATTGTAAAGAGAGCTTGCCTTATTCCTCACCCTTGGCAAGCGGGTAGGCGATCGTATCAGACGTCACGCACCTTTAATGCTGCTGCCCATCGCTGGTCCAGCTATTTTACAGCTGGTATGCATTAATGCATATATATAGGATTAAGAAAGGAATGCTTCAGTGGTTTGGTCATGTAGAAAGAATGAATGAGGGAAGAGTGACAAAGCAAATTTATTTTGCAGAAGTGAACGGAAGATTCGGAAAGGGACGTCCTAGGCGAAAGTTTATCGAACAAATTGGCGATATATTCAAAATGAGCCAAATTAAGAGTACCCTTAACCGACGAGCATGTATACGTCGGTATATGGATGTGGAGGAGGCGAGAGAGGTGTGTCAGGATCGATCCAAGGGAAGTCTGTAGTCTCTGCCTACGCCTTTGAGTGACAGGTGTTAGTGTTTATGATGATAGTTATATACGGGTACAATTGTTAAAAAAAATTGCTACGCACTTTCGTCAATCTTTGAGCTTTGGATTAGCCATTTAAGCATACTTAGCCTGCCAGCAGTAGGTTTTCAGTCATTCACCATGTTGTGGTGGCTATGAATTATTTTCTGACATTTGCCACGGTAGCAAAGCAATGAGTTTATTTTATTTCATTGACTTAAAAATAATCTTTTTTTTAAATATTTTATTTCATTTGGTATTTTACAATTCGCATAGGATAGGGAGTATCTTTTAAGTACCCTAAGACACTGGTGTCAGAGACTCCCGCTCTTCCATAACTATACAAAAAGTTCTAGAAACACAAGATTACATATTATACAAAAAAAAGATAAGTCTTAAATAATTCAAAAATAAAAATGTGTATATATAATTGTGTGTGTGTGTGTGTGTGTGTGTGTGTGTGTGTGTGTGTGTGTGTGTGTATTGTGTGCGTGCGTGCGTGTGTGTGTGTGTGTGTGTGTGTGTGTGTGTGTGTGTGTGTGTGTGTGTATAATTTATGTTGCACTAAGTAGAGGTTGAGAATAATCAATAAAGTTTGGAGATATCAGTGAGACAAAGAATAATATACTCGTAAAAATCGAGTTTGCGTCTTTCCATCAGTTTGAATACGTATCGTGGGAAAAACTTAATCAGTTTTTGCTAGGATACAAAATAATGCAATTTTCTTTAGGCTTATAGTTAAACCACACAAAAACATAGCCAAGTCTTAATGTCAATCGGATGAGAAAACCTAGTTTAATTGTAGTAAAAAAGATAAACAAATGCGATTTTGTTAACATGACACTCAATATATTCTTTTCGTAGAGGAGACGTGGTGCCGAAGGATGTGAACGCAGCCATCGCAACAATCAAGACCAAGAGGACCATCCAGTTTGTCGACTGGTGCCCCACGGGATTCAAGGTATAAAATATATTTCACTTTATCCTTATTAATTTATATTCACATTGTTATAAAAGCATTTTACAGCCTTGGAAACGGCAAACTCTCCATGTAGTTCGAAGAAAGAGTATTTCTTTTTTGGATTTTTAATTAAAACGACATGCCAATTATACTAATTACTGCCAACACTATAGAACAAAATATGAAAGTATAATTATGAGTACAGCAATTATGAACAAAGTTCTAACAAAATATAAATTTCGTCGTCTAACAGCACTTTAAATCACGATCCGAGAAAGCTTAGGCGCATTTCTTATGTCAAAGCCTGAACGTATAAATTGGACCAAAAAATGGACGTATAAAATGACGGACTAAATCTCGCTATACAATTTATCGAAGCATCCAAAATAAGTCAGCTCCATTGTACGTACAAGGGGTCACACACCTATTCACACTAATAATAGGTCTGGCGCCCGCCATTACGCAACAAACTTCGTCCGCGAGAAGTAGTTTTCGTAAGTAAAAGAAAAAATTAATACGCCGTCTTGCTTGCTTGTTTTTTTAAATTTATTTAAGGACCAGTAAACAACAGAGGCTTAATAACTAATTTTAATCCTAAAGTTAAATTTAGTGAAGCCAACACCACCAGCCTCAGATAATAATTTAAAGGATAAATTACAAAAGTGAGGGATGTGAAGGAGGACTTACTACATAATATGCGATATTACAAAATGACATTAGTAGACATTAGTTTGATTACTTAAACAGATCAGCAATATTGAACTATTTAAAAACACTACAATCTAGTACAAACAACTAAGCAAAAAAAAACCGTTCATATTTTAGTTGTGATTTCGAACAATTATATAATTTAAATTATGTTTTGATATATTTTGATTTATTTTATTTAGTTTTTAGTTAATAAGACTCATAAGCTTATTAATCACTTTGCTTCTAAAGGAGTTAGCACGGTTATTAAAAATGTCAATGTCCCAAAAGTGATCATTATAATTTTGCATTAAGCGATACAATGGCGCTCTTTTGCCAGCATTGGTGTTGTTAATTATTTATAAGGAAAATTACCCGAAATAGGGGAATTGCTATTTTTACCGACGTCGGCACGGAAACAGTAGGTACGTAGTTTGCCCAACAACTTCTTAAAGTTGTTTTAAGTACACTTTTTTTGTTAGAATTTTACTGAAAAATTACTCGATAGATTATAATGCGGTCTTATGCATTTTTGGCCATTGTCCATTATATTGCTCTGTAATTGTGATTTTTTTATGCCATGTTTAACTTAGTATATAAATCTCTATATTTTTTAAAGTTTCCTAAAACCAATGAAGTATGGAGAAAAAACTTAATATAATTAGAGATAGTATAAATGAACATTATTGGCTTCCATCCAAGTCGAGTGTACGACGATTTCACTTCTTTAATGTTGACTGCTTGCCGACTTTTAATAGCCTACATAATTATTATTAATTAGATAAATCGCGCTCGCAAGCTAAATAAAACTTTATCGCTGCGCGAGAGTGTCCGTATTACTTTGCACATTTTCCTCTTTCTACGTTACGGTGGATTTTCTGTTGTTATGGAGGGATGTCAATAAAGAGTAACAAAATACATTGCGAAATATTAATTAGGTTACTTAGGTGAAATACCTATTCTGACCATGATCGACAGACCATATTTTCGCACCTACGTGAGTTCTGCGATGCCTAACGCATGCAACTTGCAAGGCCATTCGTCGGGAATCGCGACGCTTGGCTCGGAAGGAAAAGGTAGATAGTGTAAACAACAAATAAACTTGAAATACGATTTCTAACAGAAATGTAATCGTATACTACTTAGTTAAAAATTTTGTTGATAAACAAAGTTTTGATTTCAGTGTCTATTATGTATTTTAGCTTAAAATGTTATAAGCTAAAATAACAGCTTAAAATATTTTAATACAAAGTGCAAGTACCTATATGGACGTAAGTAGATACTTGGATAGTGAAGTAAATTTCCACTAAATTTGAAAGTCGTGGATATTAAATAAATTATTACTTAGTTCTTTTTTTGCTATAAGGACCTATCTAACAATAAAAATTAAATAAATTCACGTTTCATAACTTCCTACTAAAATCCTTCGGTAATAAAGAATGATATTATCTGAAATATTTTGTTGGTCATTTAGCGTCTATCCACGCAACAATTATAGTAGGAACGACGTTTTGCCATATTAAAATTTATTAAATAATGGGTAATATACGTAATATATAGTTCTTAAATTACATTAAAACTTTTGAACTATTTTATCCCGTAATTAAATATACTAAATACTAAATAAACTATTGCAACAATATTTACAAAAAGTTATATACGTAAACGGCGTTAAAAAACTTTAACATTAAATCGCCTCCAACGCGCTAGCCCTGACTGCGTTATTTCGCCCGGGCGCGTCGCGATTTTAGGTAATTATTTCACGTAGGTAGCAAGAGTGATAGAGACCTGCTACCTACTAAAAGTCGGTCATCGAAGGCGTTTAGACTCTAGACCACAGAGTACCTTTGTATAAACTGAAACTGCTCTAGACGAGGGAATTGTGCGATGCGGCGCGGGCCGAGACGGGATCGCGGGTGCGAATTGTGGGTCGTCGTCATTTAAAGATAAGGAATTATTTTTTTTAAAAGTGAAATAAAAATCAGTTTTTTATTATTTCATGTTCCGATAACTCTAGCAATTTATTGTTTATGTCGGCTTTTCCAACAGCATCAAACGTGATGACTGTGTGTCACTGTCTTCTTGAGCTGTAGGCTATATTATGGTTGTATATGGTGAGTGTAGAGAACCGGGGACTCTTTTCACTGGAAAAGAGGCATTCCATCTTAGTCCTCAGGGACAACGCATTTGTATTTAGAGTTTTAACCCAGAATAAATCTAGATGACTATTGGCTGAGGCATCCACTTACCATCTGTGTGCCCGTTAGTCAAATTATTCTTTAAAAAAATCTTATACATCCATCTATCCATTACAAATCAAACCATACCTTCTGGGCAGAAAAGAAGCCGCATTACTTACTGTTACCGTTATAGCCTATTAAATTCCACTGCCTGTGGACATAGGCCCCCCACGTAGATTGCCTCATAAGAGGGATATTTGCCATAGTTGCCACGCTTGGCAAGCGGTTGCTAAACCGCAGCTTTTTTATCTTTAATCGCTATTAGGAAGACCCTGATTTATTACACTCTGTCACCTCTTACTACCTCCACGGGATGATATGGGGTAGTGGATATTCTTACACCGCCACTAAACGATGATGGGCTAGCTGAGCGCCTGCGCGTTGTGTCGCTGCAAAGTTCGATAGCTCACCCTCCTATCCAATCCAAGCGTGCCGTGGCCACCAGCAGATCGGTTTTAGTAAAGAGTTTTGGTTTTAGTAAAGGTTTGAGTAAAAGATTAGCAAACGTGGATCTTTGTGTCCAGGTGGGCATCAACTACCAGCCGCCCACCGTGGTGCCGGGCGGCGACCTGGCCAAGGTGCAGCGCGCCGTCTGCATGCTGTCCAACACCACCGCCATCGCTGAAGCTTGGGCCAGGTATGATTAAACTGTCTGTCAGTATTTGTAAAAAAACTTTCCTCTATTAGGCTCAGGGAATTGTTTGCATGTTATCAATAATGTCTTCCGGGCCGAATTTCAGTCGGCGGCCGGTCTCAACGAAGACATGTCATCTTCGCGGGACAGAACTATTGTGCGCATTTGTATGCGCAAGCAAACGTGCATTCTCTATTCCCTCGCTGTTGTCCTCTGCATGGACTTCATCTGTCCAGCAGGGCTCGGGCCTCGGGGCATCCCCCATTACTCGGATTTTCCTCACGGGCAATTACTATCGACCAGTTGTGGGAGCCGTTAAACGGCATTATAAGTATGCAGCGATTTGCCGCATTCGGGTTAAATTTAGTTTCAAAAGGTTATCTATTTGTCAAAGTTGGTCTCTCTATGATATCGTGAGCTGTTACTCGACTCTCTAATTTATGTAGAAAGCAATTCTCTTGGTAGAAGTCGTCCGTCCGGGGAGCGGGCTCTCTACGTGATTTCTAAAGCACGGTGGTGAAACACCGCTAACTTCTTGACTCCAGGCTGCTACAGAACATTTCTTGACAATAACTGATTATTATTCTATATCTATATTTGTAGACAATTATTATTATGATTATATGTACCATACTGAAGACCGATTTACACTTCGACATGTACAGTAGCGAGTTAACTTGCGAAGTTGGCGAGTTAAGTAGAAAATCGCGTTTGAACGGCAATTAGTAAGTTAAGTAGCAAGTTAACAATTGAGTTGAAAGGGATAGCTGGCCGGTCTATTTTTCGGTGAGTTAAGTTTGAAGTGTTGCCCTCCGCGCGTCTTCCGCCACCCGCAACTAAAAATGCCACTCGTGTGAACCAGCGCGTTTAGTATAGTTCAGTGCTTAACATAGAGTACTTTTTTATATAGGGAAGTGCAAGGTCGACAGGACGCTACGTGTTCGCCTTCTTGTACTTTTTTTTAACTAAACTCGCCACGAAGACATTTGAACGCTACTCTCCACTTAACCATTTACTGTCAACTGCCCTGTAACTAAACTCGCTACTGTACTTGTCGAAGTGTAAATCGGCTTTTATAGATAAAATTAAAGTGTCTGTCTGTAACACAGAAATAACTAGCTCCTATTAAACTCAGCTGATTATTTGCATGTTATTAAGTCTGCCTCGTTGACCTAGTGGTCGTAAACGCAACTGCTGGGTTCAAATCCCGGGTCGGGTCAAAAAACTCAATTATTGAGTTCTCTATCAAAAAACCGGTGTGCTGTCCAGGAAGTCCTACTTTTGAGCGTTTTAATATAGTATACTTTATATAATATCGTATTTTCTGGCCAGTATCTCATACAAAAATACTTTACTTCTCTAAACTTTCTGTATATAGTTGGTTTCTCGGAAACGATTTTAACTAATGGAATTAAATTTTGTATTAAGATGATGTTTTGCTTTTGAAACTTATATTTTCTCCTATTTGTGCGTGTGTGTTTGTCCTATGGTGTGCTTATTAGCTTATTACAGATGTCACATCATGAATATGAAAAGAAATCCAAAGAACTTTATCTTTACTATAAAAAAATCTTGAAAAATTTTTACGAAAATCTAACATTGTATGTGAATTTGCTTCTAGATTGGATCACAAGTTTGATTTGATGTACGCCAAGCGCGCTTTCGTGCATTGGTATGTCGGCGAGGGAATGGAGGAGGGTGAGTTCTCCGAGGCCCGCGAAGACTTGGCCGCCCTAGAGAAGGACTACGAGGAAGTCGGCGTTGACTCCACGGAGGGAGAATTGGATGAAGAAAACGAATATTAAATCCTCAAAATCAGTACATTCGAAAACGTAGTACTATTTAGATGATAGTTTCCCAAACAATAAAGCGTTTTAATCGATTGACCAAGATATAACTAATTTCATTCATAACAAATTTATCGCTCTCATATAAAGTTGTAAAGTTATTAAGTGCATTTATTTATTCAAGTTTGTGTATTAAATATTAAGTTATATTGGAACGTAGTTAAACTGACGTTGACGAAGAAATGACATTGTCACATTATGTAGTGATTATATACTCTTTGGTCACGGTTATGTGTATATGTATAAAGTACTCTATGATCAGTCATAAATTCCTGTATAGGACAGTTATTATACCTACTCTTTGGTCATAGAGTAGAATAACTACTAAAGAAAAGAGCACGCTTCTAGAATATACACCTGAGTAGTATCAGAGTATCATAGATTACTGACTATGTACTAGAGAGTATTACACCTGACATTATCATCAAAAATGGTAAAATATCATTCTAAGTAAAAAAATAATTAGATGTAAGAAAAATAACGTGAGCTTGACTGATTACAAGGATGTTTGAACTTTTGAAAAAAATTTCCGTGAGTGAAATGCCAAGTTTGTCGCTCTGTAACATGTGAGTTTGATTTGCTAAATTGCAGCATTTATTAATTTAAAAACAAAAAAGTGATAATATATTTTATTTTTCTCATAATGTAATAGGATTAGTAATATCTTTTATATTTTTTGTAAAAGGCTAACTAATTAAGGTTTATTATAATTAATAATTATGTTTTAATATGAAATGATAATGTGTATAACGGATCATTCATTTAATTGCACATAAAATTTTTTACTCTCAACATGTCATTTTATTTCTAAATGCCTTCTGAGTTTGAATAATATAACTACATATCCACGAATCTACATATCTATTAAACAATGGAAATATTATAATATTTATTCGGTGGTATTATGTGTACCACGTAGTGCCTACATAATATTTAAATTTTTTACTTATTGAGCGCAGATATATCGGTAGTATTGTGCAAATAACTTCAACTACTGGCGCTTAAGGGTACACTAGTCGCTTATTCTTCCATACAAACGTAGTCTGGCGATTACTCCACTGTTTGATGGTGTACGTTCAAAATACAAAATGATTTCAATTTGTCTCATCATTATCTAGCCCTGTATGGAAACAAAAAAGTAAAAAAAGAGTATGTTTAAAAGTTATAAGCGTCGAAAATACCAAATTTCAACACTAGTTTTAACACATCTTTGGGCGGAAATAAATACCATAAGAAGAACGAAAATTGCAAAAAAGGTTCCCATACCGGGATAGATTAGTTGTTTAAAAATGCAAATAATTTTATTTTAAACAGATACATTCAATAGATTTTTCATGACATCCAGACTACCAAAGGTCTGTTTATAAAATTTCGCGCGCTCCTTTTTTGTTGTAAATCATCTTGCTTTTCGCTACAAATTGTTTCTCCGATCAGTGGGACGGACGGAGGGGGGGGGGCGCAGCGCGCACTCACACATACTCACTAGGTTAGCCGCTGCTGGTATCTATTTATGGTTGTAATTATCTACATCTTTATTTAGAAAAATTGCTTCCTTTTGTTCGTGTCCACTTGCTGCAGCCGGGATGAATATAGTTGCTAAAATGTGCCCATAAGGTTGTTGAAGCACATTTAGTTAAAATTGAAAACAGGTAGGTACATAATAATGAACTTTCGATACAGGTACATTAGCTACTTAACTACTTTAATTTGCTAACTAACGAAAACATCTCATAGATAAGCACGATTATCGAAAATCTTAAAATTGTCTATTAATTTAATTAGAATAGGTAATTTTTAGATTTTCGATAATCATGCTTACGTATAGGAATCAAATATCCTAATATACCTAATATAATTTATGTAAGTACATAAGAATCTAAGAAGGGCAGTCAATGATAAATAAAATTTGTTTTGCAAGTTGTGTTTTTTAAAAACACTTTAACACAACAAAAACATGAAACTGAGAAGAAGCACCCGATCCGCCGAAACAAACTCAGAGAGGTCAGTCCAGGTATTACATTGGTCTTGTCATACGAGAACCAGGCTAATATGGTCCTTTGAAGAAAGAATCATACAGATGTGATTGGACAACTAAGTACTTTTTAGGATTCCGTATCCGAAGGGTAACCAGCAGGGCCCTATTACGGAGCCTCCGCTGTCTGTGAGTCTGTCTGTCAGCGGGCTGCATCTCATGATCCGTAATTTTCACAGAACGTGTATTTCTGTTACCGCTATAATAGCAAATAGTAAAAATAAATTTAAAATTAAAGGATTTTCTACTAGAAAAAAATATATCCTTTCAAACAAAAAAATAATTTTTCAAAATTGGTTTAGGCATCTTCGAGAAATCGTGGGACAGAACATACATAAACAAAAACCAACGAATTTTTACCTAAGTTACAATAACGCCAATTTGCTTTCTCTCTCCTTTCTCTTTTTAAAATACGTTATCCCCACAGTAGGATTTTCTCCTGTATCGTGTAGGCAGTTTATAAACATAAATTGCACAAGGACAAACATTCAGACCGGGAACAACTATTTTTAGTCCATACAAAATATTTGTTCCCTGCGGGATTCGAACCCGCGGCCCCCAGCGCAGCCTTATTGCTAAGCCACTGCGGCATGGAGCTCACAATTGCCGTTTGAGTTTATGTTATTATTCTAAAATGAATCACATAGGTAGGTAAGCGACGATGCCGTCGCGCATTGCGTCACTCGAGTGCGTATGTGTGTGCGAACTAGCTTCTTACTGCTCATCATAGCGTCTATCCCTTTCGCATGTGATGTCGGCTGAGGTAGCATGCATTTTTACCCCGCCCATTACTTAGTTCGTGCCATCGACTAGGGGCACCTTAATTAAACTGTGGAGAAACGACGCGCTCCGCCTCGGGCGTTCTCGTAAACAGTCGGCAGCGCGAACGCACGTAAAGGTGGGCGAAACTGTTATATTTTTCTAATTCGTTATGTTGTTGTAATATGTTTTTCTAACTGTAGTTTTAAACTGTTATAATATATTATAACTGCATAATATACAGTACTAACAAACCAATTAGTTTTCTTCATTGTGAGCCGTATGAATCCGAGGGTCATTAAATCGAAAAACCTTTACACTGCGTGAAGCAACATACAGTCAGCGCCATCTATGATCGCGCTTAGAAACGAAATCACTAAACATTCCGCCCACCAAGGACGATATAAATAGAATCGTCCTTAATTAACATTAACGTGTAAGTAAAACAATAAAAGTAAACCGCCCACCATGCCACAATACAAAAACAAAACAATGTAAGTAACCTATATTTACCCATTACAAATAAAATATATTACCCCTTATGGGTATCTATAAAATATACCCATAAGAGGTTAAGAAGTACATTAAACATTTTATTGGTTAGCAGAAGGTCCAGTATCAATCGGAAGTATATAGAGCTTGGATACTGGTCTTTTGATAACTGTATTTTTAGTTCGCAAAGTGACTACGCGCGTAATGTTATCAGTTCCTGGATGTTTAGCTACCACACGGCCAAGGAGCCACTTACACGGGGGTAAGTCATTCTCTTTTATTAACACTATATCTCCTAACTGCGGTTCAGGTGTTTGTTGAGACCATCTATACCTATGTAAAACTGATTTAAATAATCTTCCGACCATCGTCGCCAAAATTGTTGCATCAGCTTCTGGGTGAGTTGCCATCTGCGTAAACTGCTGATGTTGGAGGTTTCAAAGTTGTTGTCTGGTAAGGTAACCAAGGGTTCTGCAACCAAAAAATGGCCGGGAGTTAGTACCTCCAATGATTCAGGGTCTGCCCAAAGTTGTGTTAGAGGTCTTGAATTCAGGCAGGCCTCAATCTGAATCAAGACTGTAGACAGCTCTTCGTAGGTTAAGGTTGTGTCTCCGATGACATTCCTTAAGTGTGTCTTCACAGACTTAATTCCGGCTTCCCACAAACCTCCAAAATTCGGTGACCGTGGCGGAACAAAGTGCCAAGAAGTGCCGTGTGAAGCCAAGGAATCTGCCACCTCTCTTAAGATTTCTGACCTTTCAGATGCAAATAGTGTGCGCAACTCTCTAGCGGCTCCCACGAAGTTTGTGTCGTTGTCGCTCCAAATGTCGGTACAGAGCCCACGGCGAGCAACAAATCGTTTGAACACATTTAGAAATCCTTCGGTTGTAAGATCACTAACAACTTCCAGATGAATTGCTCTAGTCGCCATACAAATAAAAATACATATGTATCCCTTATATGATTTGTATCCTCTGCCCTTTGTTGTCCGTACGTTGATGGGTCCAGCGTAATCAATTCCACAGCATTTAAATGGTTTAGAAGGTGTTACTCTAGCAGCTGGAAGCTGGGCCAATAAAGGCGTGGCAGATTTTGCCCTGTCCATGAAACATGTCACACATTTTCTGACATGTGATTTTGTCAACAGTTTGGAGCCTAAAATCCAGTATTTGGATTGCAAATATGTAAGCATAAGCTGCGGACCTCCATGTAGTGTTTTTGTGTGGGCATCAGCGACAGTTAAATTCGTTACAGGCGATTTTTTAGGAAGCAGAATCGGATGCTTTTTGTTTGTGTCCAATCGGGATTTTTCCAGACGTCCTCCCACTCGTAGCAGTCCTGATTCATCTACAAACGGATTTAAAGGTTTAAGAGGACCCTTGATTTTATTAGGTTCATTAACTTTCAAAAGTTCAAATTCCCTTTTAAAATGTTTCCGTTGGCATTGTCTAATACAGGTGTCAGTAGCATGTTTTAAGTCTTGAGCTGTAAGGTAATTATGACGGCGTTCAGAGTTATTTTTACCACACAATAAGCCACAATAAGCCACACGCCTGCAATAAGCCACCACTCTTACCAGCTTGGTCCATGAAGAGTATTTGTCCCAAATGAATTTATCCATTTCAGTAAAGTGAACCTTTCTTATTTCCAACTGAGTTTCATCGTTTTTTGGTTT